CTTGTAGGGTTTATCTCCTGTATGGGTTCTCATATGTTTGGATAAGTCAGACTTGTGAGCTGTCCGGTACCCGCATTCCCCACACATGTAGGGTTTCTCACCGGTGTGTTTTGCTAGATGTTGGTTTAAATGAATTTTCTGTGCTGCAGAATAGTCACACTGGTCACACTTGTAGGGTTTTCTCCTGTATGGGTTCTCTATATGCCGGGATAAGTGAGACTTCCATGCCACCCTGTATCCACACTCCCCACACATGTAGGGTTTCTCACCAGCGTTATCCAAGTTGACTTGTTGTGCTGCCGCCTGGCCTTGAACATTGCTTGTTTTGCTGTCACAGTGGACCTGCGAAACCCCGGTGGGAGACCCATCACAGCAGTTCTGACCAACTCCGGTGGGAGACCCGTGTCTTGTCGCTGCCATGTTCAGCCTAATGAAAAAATTAAGAAATTATACATACATTATACATATACATATCACATGGCTTTAAACCCATCAAAGTGCAAAGTGATGGTGTTTTGCTTCGCTAGGCATCCACCCCCGCCGCCTGTCATCACAATTGGACCCTCCCAACTTGAGGTGGTACAGTCAGCACGTGTCCTTGGAGTTATCCTGCAGCACGACCTAAAGTGGACTGAGCATGTGACTACAGTTGTCGGCAGAGGGAGTAAAAGACTGTATGTGCTACGAAATCTAAAGAAGCATGGACTCGAGACAAGTGACCTCATACTCATCTTCATTGGTTTTGTTCGGCCCGTCCTCGAGTACGCGTGCGTGTTATGGCACCCCGGTCTGACTAGAGAACTGTCCCTGAAAATTGAACGTGTCCAGAAAAGAGCACTAAGGACTATACTGGGTAATGACTATACCGACTACCAATCTGCTCTGAACCTTACCGGTCTCAGCCGTCTTGACGCTAGACGACAGGAACTGTGCCTAAGATTCGCAACTTTACTTGTTAACTCTGAGAAGTACCGTGAATGGTTGCCACCTAGACGGGGTGATACTCACCTCAGAACTCTCAGAAATAGCAACTCTTTTACTCAGTACAAATGCAGAACTGCTCGGTATCAGAACAGCACGTTTCCCTTCTGCGTACGACTGCTAAATGATAACATGTAAATTTCCGTGCGGCCTCCATGTATATAAAATAGCTTATCTATAAGTAAAACGTTTTAAAATGTAGTCACCAATTGATTTTAATATATTGAATGATCGTACATTCCTGTTTTAATCTACGTGATAAGAATTCTGTATTATGTTGTCTAAGATGAACGAATTGTGAAAGAACCACAATTCAGCCTATGTAAGGCTGCCAGGGTTTTTATCCTCAATAAACCATTTCATCATCATCATCATCATCATCATCATCATTGTCAGAATTGTCAATGATAAAATTGGGTTTATAGAAAATTAGGTTTAAAGAGTTCTGACTTCAACAATTTTAACCTGATGCATAACAACATAACCCAGCATAATTCCTCCTCTCCGAAAGGAGGAGGAAAGCCCGCCTCACAACATTCTACAAAATAGTGCATAAAATTACTATGATCCCTACAGACAAACTGCTCAGGCCAGCTTAGGGGCGTACCCGAGGGAGTCATCAATATAAATTCCAACCCATACACGCACGTAGAGACGCCTATAAATACTCCCTCTTTCCCCGCACAATTCCACAATGGAACGCCTTGCCTGGCCCGGTAACCATGGCTCCCACCGTTGAGTCCATCCGGGCCAGGCTGGAGGCCTGCCCGCCTTAGACCAAGGCCTCCCCCCCCCCAAAGTGCCCCAACAGGGGCTATATGGGGGTATAGCCGGCAAAGATGAAGATGAATTCTAGCGTGTTGCATATTTTGCATTTAAATAAAGTTGCTGTTGCGACAAAATAAATGTTAGATCTTGATTATCACTCTCACTCACTCACTCACTCACCCACTCAAGATCACTCTCTCACTCACTCACATACTCACTTTCTCACTCACTCACTCACTTTCTCTCTCTCACTCACTCACTCACTCACTCACTCACTCACTCACTCACTCACACCAGAGCTTGCTCAAAATATTTCACTTATCAATTCTACAACTACAAACAATGGGTAAAATGGGAAGCTAGGCTGGAAAGAGAGTCGGCAGTATAGCCTATAGGTTTGGTCACCAGGCTTCTCTATTTACTGTTTTTACAAATCAGTTCTACGCGTTTCTAGATTTTGTAATGTACGCCTTGTGCGATTCCTTACAATACAATTAACATTTCCATATAATTTCACGTTCTCTAAAAAGGCCACTTTGCCTGATGCAAATCGACGTACATGTAAGTGGCGAGGGTTCAACGTAGGTTAGGTTTCGCCCTCCTCCCCCTTTAATTCAACAATATTTACATCCCGAAAATGTCTACAAATTTTCATCCTACTGCGGTTCTTCTTCCACAACAATGGTCTTAAACTATTCCCCTCAACACCAGAATACGTTTCTGTCCGTTTCTAAGCCTTACCTGCTTCCTATGACGGTTTTTCTCTTCACGTAAACCTGAACTCGGGCAGCTTTGTCCTTCCTTCGTCTCGTGAGGTCAGAGGTGAACGCCAAGTGGGTCAAAGGTAAAGTTGTGTGCCTGATTACCCAAGCAGTGCACTTGACGTCAGGTAGCACGTTACGCTTTCCTCATAATGTCAACGTTCTGCGTTCAAACCGACCACCTTATAACGTAACAAGCGTCTGACGTTTGTCTCTGATGTACCTTTAAAGAGATAATTTAAGGGAATGAATGTCAAGCCAAACTGTTTGGTCTGAATCTTGACTTCTGTGTTTTATGATCAACTCACCACCTCTGACAATATTCCATCCAAGAAAAAAAGCAATACAGAAGGAAACATTGTGCTCAAGGTTCATAACGATTTAATTGTGTTAGCGGAAAGTTTCTATAGATATATCTTCTAAAAGTAATACAAAACAAACAGGATTTTGAACTCATATCCAACAAAACGCCTACGTTTTCACAACTGTAAAATACTTCCTACTATTGGAAACTAAAGCAAGTCGGTCATTTTACACCGATGCTAATTAGCATAAAGATTTTACTACAAACCAAACGCTAGTTTCCTGTGTATATGTTAGTCAAAAGATATTATTGTGTCTGTAAGACATACAGGTAAACACTTAGACAAAGTGAAGTACATATGTACATGTATTAACAAGAAATCGAAGCTCCTTCAATCGAACAAACTCAACGTTACCTTCTACCTTTCAACTAACTTCTATACAACATAACGTGTACGTTTTCACAACTGTAAAATACTTCCTGCTATTGGAAACTGAAGCAAGTCGGTCATTTTACACCGATGCAAATCAGCGCAAAGATTTTACTACAAACCAAACCAAACGCTAGTTTCCTGAGTATATGTTAGTCAAAAGATATTATTGTGTCTGTAAGACATACAGGCAAACACTTAGACAAAGTGAAGGATTAACAAGAAATCGAAGCTCTTTCAATGGCTTCATTGATGCTTACAATCTCAACATTAGCTTCTACCTTTCAACTACTGTTTACAATCACTTAGCGATGTTAAATACTGTACATTTACATTATCCAATCAATACCAACAAATTTTGGTGTTCTACCACAAATTAAGTTTACTGTTCAAAAATTACAAATCTGGTTATCAAATGATGGATTCGTTTCCAAACTATACAGTTGATAGTTAAAGAAAGTATATTTGTCTGGCTAAGAATTATTCTTGTAACTAAACCACAGTTTTACAGTGATTAAAAATGCAGTGGACAAAAAGTGCCTATGACATTTCGTCAGGAAAAACTTGCATATTTGCAAATATTACTAGAAGCATATCTTATAATAAATAATGTAGTTAGCCTAAATGGTTTCAAAATTATTGTACTGTATCCGTAAGCTACATATAGTCTGAAGACAGAAAAACTATACTTAAGAGAAGATTATGCACATTAAATGTCACTACGAAATGGTCACAGTTGCAGAATTGGTGCCTCCGTGTGAATTCTTTTATGTCGAGTTAGGGCAGACTTAGTGTCTGCAGAATAGCTACACTGGTCACACTTGTAGGGTTTCTCTAGTATATATGGGTTCTCATATGTTTGGATAAGTTAGACTTTTGAGCAGTCCTGTACCCACACTCCCCACACATGTAGGGTTTCTCACCGGTGTGTTTTAGTACATGTCTGTCCAAATGAGCTTTCCGTGCTGCAGAATAGTCACACTGGTCACACTTGTAGGGTTTTTCTCCTGTATGTGTTCTCATATGTTCGGATAAGTGAGACTTTTGAGTTGCCCTGTACCCACACTCCCCACACATGTAGGGTTTCTCACCGGTGTGTTTTGCTAGATGTCTGTCCAAATCAGATTTCTTTGCTGCAGAATAGTCACACTGGTCACACTTGTAGGGTTTTTCTCCTGTATGGGTTCTCATATGTCGGGATAAGCTGGACCTGTCAGCTGTCCTGTACCCACATTCCCCACACATGTAGGGTTTCTCACCGGTGTGTTTTGCTAGATGTTTATCCAAATCAGATTTCTGTGCAGCAGAATAGTCACACTGGTCACACTTGTAGGGTTTATCTCCTGTATGGGTTCTCATATGTCGGGATAAGTGAGACTTCTTTGTTGCCCTGTACCCACACTCCCCACACGTGTAGGGTTTCTCACCGGTGTGTTTTGCTAGATGTGTGTCTAAATTAGATTTTAGTGCTGCAGAATAGTCACACTGGTCACACTTGTAGGGTTTATCTCCTGTATGGGTTCTCATATGTTTGGATAAGTCAGACTTGTGAGCTGTCCGGTACCCGCATTCCCCACACATGTAGGGTTTCTCACCGGTGTGTTTTGCTAGATGTTGGTTTAAATGAATTTTCTGTGCTGCAGAATAGTCACACTGGTCACACTTGTAGGGCTTTTCTCCTGTATGGGTTCTCATATGTATGGATAAGGTAGACTTGTAAGCCGCCCTGTACCGACACTCCCCACACATGTAGGGTTTCTCACCAGCATTATCCAACTTGACTTGTGTTGCTGCCTGGTCTTCAACATTGCTTGTTTTGCTGTCACAGTCGACCTGGGAAACTCCGGTGGGAGACCCATCACAGCAGTTCTGACCAACTCCGGTGGGAGACCCGTGTCCTGCCATTGCCATGTTCAGCCTAATGAAAGAAATTATGCAGATTAAGCGTTATAAGCTGTCAATGATAAAATAGAATTCATAGAAAAAAGCTTCAAAGAATTCTAACTTCACTAAGCTTTACAATTTTAACCTAATGCATTACAACGTAACCCAACATAATTCTAACGTGTTGTCTTTCTCGCATTTGAATAAATTTGCTTCTATGTTGTTACAAAATCATAATTTGAGATCTTACAATCTCTTACTCACACCACCAATCTCTTAAAACATTTTATATCACATTATTTATTACTTCTACGACTACGAACAATGGGTAAAATGACTTCATTCGCTAGGCTGGAAAGAGAGTCGGCAGTATAGCCTATAGGTTTGGTCACCAGGCTTCTCTATTTACTGTTTTTACAAATCAGTTCTACGCGTTTCTAGATTTTGTAATGTACGCCTTGTGCGATTCTTTACAATACAGTTAACATTTCCATATAATTTCACGTACGTATACTCTAAAAAGATAACTTTGCCTGATTCAGCATGACGTACATGTAAGTGGCGAGGGTCAAACGTATGTTTGGTTTCGCCCCCCTCCCCCTTTAATTCCACGATATTCACATCCCGAAAATGTCTACAAATTATCGGCCTACTGCGGTTCCTCTTCCACAGAAATGGTCTTAAACTATTCCCCTCAACATCAGAATACTTTTCTTTCCGTTTCTAAGCCTTACCTGCTTCCTATGACGGTTTTTCTCTTCGCGTAAACCGGAACTCGGGCAGCTTTGTCCTTCCGTCGTCTCGTGAGGTCAGAGGTGAACGCCCATCGGGTCAAAGGTGAAGTTGTCTGCCTGAATACCCACATAGTACATTTGACGTCAGTTGGCACGTTACGTTCTCCTCATAATGTCAACGTTCTAAGTTTCAAACCGACCACTTTAAGAACGTAACACGCGTCTGACTTTTGTTTCTGATCTACTTTAAAAGAGATAATTTAAGGGAATAAATGTCAAGCGAAACTGTTTGGTCTGAATCTTGATTTCTGTGTTTTATGATCAACTCACCACCTCTGAAAATATCCCATCCAAGGAAAAAAAGGCAACACAGAAGGAAACATCATGTTCAAGGTGCATAACTATTTAATAATGTCAATGGAAAATATCTAGATACATCTTTGAAGAAAAACTACAACTACAAAACTGGAAATTTACTTGTATACACTATCGTCTACCTTTTCACTGGCGTAAAATTACTTCCTACTTTGGAAACTGAAGCACATCAGTCATTTCACATCGATACAAATTCATACCATTAGCTTTTGGGTTTTATCCTAACAAACTTTAGTAGTTTAAAGAGATGATATTAGTTACAAGACATAATTGTGTTTGTAGGACATATAGGCAAACACTTCGTGACAGAAACTACTAGTAGATACACAGGAAATCTAAGCTCGTACACACACAACACTAACGTCTACATTCCAACTACTGTGTACAAATACAGCACTAGTGTCTACGTTTCAGCTTCAACTACTGTATACAATCACTTACCGATGTTAATTACTGATTATGTATATGTACATTATCCAATCAATACTATAACGCTTACTATTCTCACTCTACAATTCTAGATAGCTAAAATAGATTTTGATATCTCATATTACAACAAACCGAAACGAAGACTTCTTCTTGTACCTAAATTATAGCCATAACTTAATTAGATATTAAAGTGCCTACTTTGCCTACTTGCAAACATAATGTATATTATCCAATCAATACTATAACATTTACTATTCTCACTCTACAATTCTAGATAGCTACAATAGATTTTGATATCTGACATTACAACAAAGTAAATGGGCTACTGAGCGAAACTAAGACTTATTCTTGTACCTAAATTATAGCCATAACTTAATTAGATATTAAAGTGAACAAGTATAGGGCTTTTTCTTGGGAAAAACCTTTGCCAACTTGCAAACATCATGAATTCTTACAGAATATTCAGCCTAAATGTTAATGAACATAACTGTCATATACCCTTAAGACTAGTATCAAAATATTAAGTAGTAAAAACTGTAGTTAACAGCAGACTGTTCGTACTAAATGTCACTACGAGATGGTCACAGTTGCAGACTTGGTGCCTCTGTATGAATTTTCATATGTCGAGTTAGGGAAGTCTTAGAGGCTGCAGAATAGCTACAATGGTCACACTTGTAGGGTTTTTCTGATGTGTGTGCACTCATATGTCGGGATAAGGTAATCTTTTGAGTTGCCCTGTACCCGCACTCCCCACACATGTAGGGTTTCTCACCAGTGTGTTTTGCTATATGTTCGTCCAAAGCATATTTCCATGCTGCAGAATAGTCACACTGGTCACACTTGTAGGGTTTTTCTCCTGTATGGGTCCTCATGTGTCGGGATAAGTTGAACCTTTGAGCTGTCCTGTACCCACACTCCCCACACATGTAGGGTTTCTCACCGGTGTGTGTTGCTTTATGATCATCTAAGGTGGACTTCCGTGCAGTAGAAAAGTCACACTGGTCACACTTGTAGGGTTTTTCTCCTGTATGGGTTCTCATATGTCGGGATAAGTGAGACCTGTCAGCTGTCCTGTACCCACACTCCCCACACATGTAGGGTTTCTCACCGGTGTGTTTTGCTAGATGATTATCCATATGTTTGTCATCGGCATGTTTTGATAGATGTTTGCCCAAAGCAGATTTCCATGCTGTAGAATAGTCACACTGGTCACACTTGTAGGGTTTTTCTCCTGTATGGGTTCTCATATGTTTGGATAAGTCAGACTTGTGAGCTGTCCAGTACCCGCATTCCCCACACATGTAGGGTTTGTCACCGGTGTGCTTGACTAGATGTTGGTCTAAATTGTGTTTCAGTGCTGCAGAATAGTCACACTGGTCACACTTGTATGGTTTTTCTCCTGTATGAGTTCTCATATGTTGGGATAATGTAGACTTGTAAGTCGCCCTGTACCCACACTCCCCACACATGTAGGGTTTCTCACCAGCGTTATCCAAGTTGGCTTGTGCTGCCGCCTGGTCTTCAACATCGGTTGTTTTGCTGTCACAGTCGACCTGGGAAACCTTGGTGGGAGACCCATCACAGCAGTTCTGACCAACTCCGGTGGGAGACCCGTGTTCTGCCGTGGCCATGTTCAGTCTAATTGGAAAAAAAATATTCGAAGTGTGAAAAACTGCAAATGATAAACTTGACGGTTGAAAAGAGAGTCGTTATTATAGGTTTGGTCTGGTCTATCCGGACATTCGCTGTTTTCACAAATCATATTTTCTAGAATTGTAATGCACGTCTTATTGTTGGTTTCTTTTTCTTTAATACCCACGATCATAATAAAGATCATTCTGACATACTCATTTGCACCTGACTGAAGTGAGGAAAGGCGTGAACAGTGCCTTTCTCAAGGGCACATGATCAACTTGGCAGTCCAGGCAAGACCTCTAGGGGTTTTTTTTTTTATTGAAACATATAGTGACAAGACGTGGTGGCGACACACTCAAGTTACACTTATATTCATGTCACCTCCAGACAACACATATCATCAAATGACGGAATTCGCGGCGAATTGGGAACATTTCCTGTCATGATTGATGCCGAAATAAAACTTATAAAATACTGGCACCGTTTGGAAAATTTACCCGAAGACGCTCTACTCCACGAGGCATACAATATTCTACATTCCGCTGATTCTGACTGGGTAAATCATATACACGACATCCTTAATTATAACGGTTTTGGATATGTATGGAAAAACCCCAGGTTGTATCACGTTAACATGTTTGCAGATCAATTACGACGTCGTTTACAGGATATTTACATCCAAGAATACCATACTTCTGTTCAAAACAATTCAAAACTTTCTGTCTATTCGATGTTAAAGACGAGGTACGGACAAGAAAATTACCTTTCTGAAATACACAATTTTGAAGTTCGTAGATCGATTACAAAGATGAGAATTTCTTGCCATAAAATTGAATATAGAATTAGGAAGATATAAAAAAATTCCTCGCGACCAGAGGTTTTGTCCATTCTGTCCCAATGATATTGAAGATGAACAACATTTTATTTTGAATTGTACACTATATAACGATAAACGCACAAAGCTGTTCAACCTTCTCTCCGCCTGCTCAACAGAATTTGTTACATTTCATGCTATAGATAAATTTAAGTTCATCCTAGAAGGCAATAACCCTTACTGTGTACAAATAGGTAAATATATCAAAGAATGTTTAGACCTTAGAACAAGTAGTATTAGTTGACCCACCTATTGTTCTGTACGTAGGATATTTTCGTTATACCCATGTATAACTGTCTGTATATCTACATGTCTTTGACCTTACAAAAGTCGCTGTACTTTTTGTTGTGTCAATAAAGTTCTTCTTCTATTACACAAGACAAGCAAAGCACGAATTAAAATATAGAAATTGAATACAATAATCAATCAATGAACAAGTGAAACAAATATATAACTACTGGCAGGACTGATTAAGATATTACAAAAAACAATTGGATTCTAACAAAATGTCTGTACATATAGTAATATTTGAGAGAAAAGAATTGAAGAACCTCTTAAAATCATCAGAAAGATCATCCAAGTCAGTAATGAAGCCAATCAGTGTTTTCAAGTTGCCAAAAAGGGCATTTCGCTGTTGAGTGTAGTTGGGGCAGTGTAACAAAAAGTTACAGAACCTCTAAGTCGTAATACGCTACTCTCATTACGCAACCCCATATTTTTGCGATTCTTTAGAATCATTTTTGTTTTCTCTTTAGAATTCAATTAACATTTCTCTATTTCTAGAGTGTGCGGAACAAAACAGCTGAACTGGCGACAGTAGTTGACACTTACAAGCCAGATATAGTAGCAGGTACAGAGTCATGGCTCAACCAAAACATAACAAGTAGTGAAATATTCCCCAGCAACTACATAGCACACCGGAAAGACAGACAAACTGGCCAAGGAGGTGGTGTATTTCAGGCCAACAGAGATGATCTAATTGTTACCCATAGGCCAGACCTTGACACAGACTGCGAGGTTCTGTGGACACAAACTCAACTTGCAGGAAGGAGACCACTGATAATAGGTACATACTACAGACCCCCATCAGACCAGGGCAATAGTCTGGATGAACTTGACAGGTCTATAGGTAAAATGGGAGCAAAAATAAACTCTGACAATGTGATCATTCTTGGCGATTTCAACACCCCTGGCATCAAATGGGATACTACTGTAGCTGACAACAGTCAGGCCTACACAGGCCAAGCAGAGAAACTACTAAACCTAATGGATAACCACGGGTTATTTCAAACAGTCCAGGAACCAACTAGAAATGGTAATCTCTTGGACCTGGTCTTAGTTAATAACCCCAACATAATTGAGAAGACCACAGTAGTCCCGGGGATAAGTGACCACGACATGGTTCTAGTGGACGTTAACCTGGCGCTGAAACAAAACAGGAAACCTAAGAGAAAAGTGTACATCCGCACAAAAGCCGACGAACCAGCCATTAAGAAAGACCTAACGGATTATGCAACTAACTTTCACAAAAGAACTCAGGATATGTCAGTTACACAGAAGTGGTCAGACTTCAAAGACAAAATGAAAGACACGATGAACAAGCACATCCCAAGTAAGATAACATCAAGCAGATACAACTTGCCTTGGTTCAACAGAAACCTAAGGAGGCACTGTCGTAAGAAGCAGCGGCTCTATAACAAAGCTAAGAAAACAGGCCAAGAGGAAGACTGGAACAAATATAAGAGAGTTAAGAAGGGAGTTCAGAAAAGCATAAGACAAGCACACTCTAAATACGTGGCAGACATACTGGGAGAAGCTATAGTTGACAAACCCAAAACATTCTGGTCGTACATAAAAGGACTGAGGAAAGACCTTGTTGGGGTAGCACCCCTAAAGGTGGGAAATACCATCATCAGTGACAGCGGGAAAAAAGCAGAAGTACTCAGTTCACAGTTCAAAAGTGTTTTCACAGAGGAAGACATCACAGATATGCCAACTCTAGGTCAGCCCTGTACTCCTCCAATGGAACATATAGTAGTTTCTACTGATGGTGTCGAAAAAATGCTTCAAGGTCTCAATCCCTCTAAAGCATCCGGACCAGACCAAATACCACCGTGGTTCCTCAAGTTGACAGCTAGTGAAATCGCGCCTGTTCTAACCAATATTTTCCAACACTCGCTAAACACTGCAGAAATCCCTAAAGATTGGAGGGATGCAAATATATGCGCCATCTTTAAAAAAGGAGATAGAGCGGTCCCCAGCAACTACAGACCTGTTTCACTGACCTGCATATCCTGCAAACTACTTGAACATATCATCCATAGCCAAATCATGAAGCACCTAGAAAGTTACAGTATATTAACGGATTACCAGCATGGATTCAGAGCCAAACGATCCACAGAAACACAGCTTATACTAACAGTCCATGACATAGCTGGCGCACTAAACAGTAAACGGCAGGTAGATTTAGCAATACTTGATTTCACTAAAGCCTTGATAAAGTCCCCCATGGCAGGCTCATCTCAAAACTGGAGTATTATGGAATCCAAGGCCCTACGCTGAATTGGTTAAAGGCTTTCCTGACCAACAGGGAGCAAACAGTAGTGGTTGAAGGGAAGGCGTCGGCTCCAGTTAAAGTAGCGTCTGGGGTCCCTCAAGGAACCGTCCTGGGGCCATTGCTCTTTCTCTTGTACATAAATGACCTACCAGATCAGCTTGACTCAAATGTGAGGTTATTTGCCGATGACTGTCTATTGTATGTAGAGCTTTCTACACAGACCGACTCACAACTTCTCCAAAAAGACCTGAACACCCTGGAAGAATGGCAAAGCAAATGGCTCATGCAGTTTAATCCAGAAAAATGCTACATTATGCACATAACAAACAAACGAACACCACATGCAACTAGCTACCAGTTTTGTGGTCAGGCTTTAGCAACCACAAAAATCCATCCGTATCTGGGCGTCACGCTAACAAGCGGACTGAAGTGGGGTGCACATGTTAATAATATCACAACTAAGGCGAAACAGACATTGGGATTGATTAAACGTAATCTGTGGGCATGTCCAGCGAGAGTAAAATCACTTGCATACACGTCACTTGTAAGACCGAACCTAGAATACGCTGCGACAGTATGGGATCCATATACAAAGAAAGACAAAGACAAATTGGAAAGGGTACAGAATCAAGCTGCAAGATTCTGTATGAACAACTATGTAAGAGGTGCTAGTGTCACGGAAATGAAAAGAAACCTACAGTGGACCTCACTTAAAGACAGAAGAAAGATGTCTAGGCTATGCATGATGTACAAAATGACTAATAAACTGGTGGATGTCCCAACTACTAAGTACCTAATACCAGCCCAGAAGAGAACAAGAAATAGCCACGCATTCAAGTACCAGAGTTATCAACCAAGGATTGAGGTGTTCAAGAATTCATTCTTTCCTAGAACTATCGCAGAGTGGAACTCACTGTCACCAAGTACAGTAGGGGCACTGTCAATAGATAGCTTTAAACAATGTCTAGAGCTAGAAGTTCAAGGGTTAGGTGGAACAAGTCGATCGGTGTAATATAGCCAGCTGCCGCCGCGCCGCGTGCCTGCGAAGCTGGTGTGTTACGCCGAAAGGCGGTTATACCGGCTATACAGATACAGATACAGATACAGATNGGGAGACCCGTGTCCTGCCATTGCCATGTTCAGCCTAGACGAAAAAAACGAAGAAATTATACAGATTAAGCGTTATAAGCTGTCAATGATAAAATAGAATTTATAGAAAACAAGCTTCAAAGAATTCTAACTTCACCAAGCTTTACAATTTTAACCTAATGCATTACAACATATAACCCAGCTAACGTGTTGTCTTTCTCGCATTTGAATAAATTTGCTTCTATGTTGTTACAAAATCATAATTTGTGAGATCTTAAAATCACTCACTCACAACACCAATCTCTTAAAACATTTTATATCATATTATTTATTACTTCTACGACTACGAACAATGGGTAAAATGACTCCATTCGCTAGGCTGGAAAGAGAGTCGACAGTATAGCCTATAGGTTTGGTCACCAGGTTTCTCTATTTACTGTTTTTACAAATCAGTTCTACGCGTTTCTAGATTTTGTAATGTACGCCTTGTGCGTTTCTTTACAATACAGTTAACATTTCCATATAATGTCACGTACTCTAAAAAGGTCACTTTGCTTGATTCAGCATGACGTACATGTAAGTGGCGAGGGTCAAACGTATGTTTGGTTTCGCCCCCCTCCCCCTTTAATTCCACGATATTCACATCCCGAAAATGTCTACAAATTATCGGCCTACTGCAGTTCTTCTTCCACAGAAATGGTCTTAAACTATTCCCCTCAACATTAGAATACTTTTCTGTCCGTTTATAAGCCTTACCTGCTTCCTATGACGGTTTTTCTCTTCACGTAAACCGGAACTCGGGCAGCTTTGTCCTTCCTTCGTCTCGCGAGGTCAGAGGGGAATACACTTTGGGTCAAAGGTGAAATTTGTTAACCTGATTACCCATGTAGTACATTTGATGTCAGTTGGCACGTTACGTTTTCCTCATAATGTCAACGTTCTGCGTTCAAACCGACCACCTTAACAACGTAACACGCGTCTAACTTTTGTTTCTGATCTAATACGAAAGAGATAATTTAAGGTAATAAATGTCACGCCAAACTGTTTGGCCTAAATCTTGATTTCTGTGTTTTATGATCAACTCACCACCTCTGACAATATTCCATCCAAGGAAAAAAGGAACACAGAAGGAAACATGTTCAAGGAGATATTATACATCATGAGGGAATAACTACTATTTGTCTATCAATGTGTGCTATATAATCAGTATCGAGGTAGAGGAGCTATAGTTAAGATTCTACGTACAAAATGTCACTACGAGATGGTCACAGTTGATGACTGATTTATTGATTAAAACATTTTGCAGCCCGGAGGCTGAATTGCATGTTTCCTTACATCAGTGTCCACCTTAACAACTTTAAAATATTCTGCTAGCTAAGAATTCATACATAAAATTGAGTGGCGACCTCTACATATATACATCATAAAAGACAATACATTATTTGTTTACGTTAACTCATTTAGGAGTTTTACTATATAGGGCAAGGGGCTCTTGGAGTAGCGCTTCGTACGTGCTAGAATTGGGTCGAAGTTGTTTTTTTGCCTTGTTTTGACTCTGCATGAATTCGGATATGTCGGGATAGGGCAGCCCTGGAGGCTACAGAATAGTTACACTGGTCACATTTGTAGGGTTTTTCTCCTATATTGGGCTCTCATATGTCGGGATAAGCTGGACCTGTCACCTGTCCTGTATCCACACTCCCCACACATGTAGGGTTTACTCACCGGTGTGTTTTGCTTTAAGTTCATCTAAAGAGACTTTCTGTGCTGCAGAATAGTCACACTGGTCACACTTGTAGGGTTTTTCTCCTGTATGGGTTCTCATATGTCGGGATAAGTGAGACCTGTCACCTGACAAATCATATTTCCGTGCTGCAGAATAGTCACACTGGTCACACTTGTAGGGTTTTTCTCCTGTATGGGTTCTCATATGTTGGGAGAAGTAAGGACTTGTTAGCTGTTCTGTACCCACACTCCCCACACATGTACGGTTTCTCACCGGTGTGTTTAACTACATGATTGTCCAAACTGGATTTCTGTGCAGCAGAATAGTCACACTGATCACACTTGTAGGGTTTTTCTCCTGTATGGGTTCTCATATGTCGGGATAAGGTAGACTTTTGAGTTGCCCTGTACCCACACTCCCCACACATGTAGGGTTTCTCACCGGTGTGTTTTGCTAGATGTAGGTTTAAAGAAGATTTCCTTGCTGCAGAATAGTCACACTGGTCACACTTGTAGGGGTTTTCTCCTGTATGGGTTCTCATATGTAGGGATAAGGTAGACTTGTAAGCTGCCCTGTACCCACACTCCCCACACATGTAGGGTTTCTCACCAGTGTGTTTTGCTAGATGTAAGTCCAAAGAGGACTTGTGTGCTGCAGAATAGCCACACTGGTCACACTTGTGGGGTTTTTCTTCCTGTATGAGCTCTCATATGTTTGGATAAGTCAGAATTTCTAGCTGTCCTGTATCCACACTCCTCACACATGTAGGGTTTCTCACTGGTGTGTTTTGCTAGATGTTGGCCCAAAGCAGATTTCTGTGCAGCAGAATAGTCACACTGGTCACACTTGTAGGGTTTTTCTCCTGTATGGGTTCTCATATGTCGGGATAATTTAGACTTGTAAGCCGCCCTGTACCCACACTCCCCACACATGTAGGGTTTCTCACCAGTGTTATTCAAGTTGACGTGTGCTGCCGTCTGGTCTTTAACATTGCTTGTTTTGCTGTCACAGTCGACCTGAGAAACCCCGGTGGGAGACCCATCACAGCAGTTCTGACCAACTCCGGTGGGAGACCCGTGTCCTGCCATTGCCATGTTCAGCCTAATGAAAAAAGTTGACGAAATTATACAGATTAAGCGTTATAAGCTGTCAATGATAAAATAGAATTTATAGAAAACAAGCTTCAAAGAATTCTAACTTCACCAAGCTTTACACTTTTAACCAAATGCATTACAACGTAACCCAACATAATTCTGACGTGTTGTCTTTCTCGCATTTGAATAGGTTTGCTTCTATGTTGTTCCAAAATCATAATTTGAGATCTTACAATCAATCACTCACACCACCAATCTCTTAAAACATTTTATATCATATTATTTATTACTCCTACGACTACGAACAATGTGCAAAAATGACCCCATTCGCTAGGCTGGAAAGAGAGTCGGCAGTATAGCCTATAGGTTTGGTCACCAGGCTTCTCTATTTACTGTTTTTACAAATCAGTTCTACGCGTTTCTAGATTTTGTAATGTACACCTTGTGCGATTCTTTACAATACAATTAACATTTTTATATAATTTCACGTACTCTAAAAAGGCCACTTTGCCTGATGCAAATCGACGTACATGTAAGTGGCGAGGGTCGAACGTATGTTTGGTTTCGCCCCCCTCCCCCTTTAATTCAACGATATTCACATCCTGAAAATGTCTACAAATTATCGTCCTACTGCGGTTCCTCTTCCACAGAAATGGTCTTAAACTATTCCCCTCAACATCAGAATACTTTTCTGACCGTTTCTAAGCCTTACCTGCTCCCTATGATGGTTTTTCTCTTCACGTAAACCGGAACTCGGCTCGGGCAGCTTTGTCCTTCCTTCGTCTCGTGAGGTCAGAGGTAAATTGTACGTGGGTGAAAGGTGAAATTGTTTGCCTGATTACCTATGTAGTACATTTGACGTCGGGCGGCACGTTATGTTTTCCTCATAATGTAAACCTTTTACGCTTCAATCAGATCACCGAAAAAAAGTAAAATGCGTCATTTTTGCTGTTCTAATATTAAATAATAAATGAAAAGAAGATAAAAGCTGACTAGAAAGGTAACATTTGCAAAGCAAAGCATAATGTAATGTTTACCTTCAGACATAGTCTGCTCTGTGAATTCTTACTCAAACACATTTATGTATATATGTTGACAGCAGTCTAAATCCCTTCTGATATAAAATTGCAATATGACATACACCAACACTAGTTACCATGGTGATAGACTGTCTGGCCCAGGTCATTGAAATTTGTGTTTGGAGAAAAGGAAACTGAAGAAAACAAGATGTTTTTCTTCCGTAAACATAATAACAGCCAAACATGTTTTTTCTTAATGTTGATTTTTATGTTTTGTGATGATTTAACAAACTCCACCATTGCAAATAAAGGCAAGAAAAGCATTATCTTGAAAGTATCAAACGATTTAATTATTATAACTACATCTCCAAAAAAACACAAACAGCATACTTGTATACAACACAACGTCTACCTTTGTAAAGCTGTAAAATTACTTCCTACTTTGGAAACTGAAGAACATCGGTCGATTTACACTGATGTAAATCAGCGTTAAGATTTCACTATGAACCAAACGCTAGATTACTGAGTTTATATTAATCAAAAGATATGATTGTGTCTGTAAGACATACAGGCAAACACTTAGACAAAGTGAAGTGTTAACAAGAAAGCGAAGCTCCTTCAATGGCTTCATTCAAACAAACTCAACATTAACTTCTACCTTTCAACTACTGTTTACAATCACTTACCGATGACAGGAACTACTAGTAGATACACAGGAAATCTAAGCTCGCACACACACAACACTAACGTCTACATTCCAACTACTGTGTACAAACACATGTAGGGTTTCTCACCGGTGTGTTTTGCTAGATGTAAGTCCAAAGAGGACTTGTGTGCTGCAGAATAGCCACACTCGTCACACTTGTAGGGTTTTTCTCCTGTATGGGTTCTCATGTGTTGGGATAGGTGAGACTTTTGAGTTGTCCTGTACCCACACTCCCCACACATGTAGGGTTTTTCACCGGTATGTTTTTCTAGATGTTTATCCAAATCAGATTTCTGTGCAGCAGAATAGTCACACTGGTCACACTTGTAGGGCTTTTCTCCTGTATGGGTTCTCATATGTATGGATAAGGTAGACTTGTAAGCCGCCCTGTACCCACACTCCCCACACATGTAGGGTTTATCACCAGCATTATCTAACTTGACTTGTGTTGCTGCCTGGTCTTCAACATCGCTTGTTTTGCTGTCACAGTTGACCTGAGAAACCCCGGTGGGAGACCCATTACAGCAGTTCTGACCAACTCCGGTGTGAGACCCGAGTCCTGCCATTGCCATGTTCAGCCTAATGAAAAATGAAATTAAAAAGATCAAGCTTTAAATGCTGTCAATAATAAAATTGGCTTTTTACAAAAAAAATTCAAAGAGTTCCGACTTTAACATGCTTTACAATATCAACATAATATATAACAACGTAACCCAACATAATTTCGACGTGTTGTCTTTCTCGCATTTGAATAAATCTGCTTCAATGTTGTTCCAAAATCATAATTTGTGAGATCTTACAATCAATCACTCACACCACCAACCTCTTAAAACATTTTATATCATATTATTTATTACTTCTACGACTACGAACAATGGGTAAAATGACTCCATTCGCTAGGCTGGAAAGCGAGTCGGCAGTATAGCCTATAGGTTTGGTCACCAGGCTTCTCTATTTACTGTTTTTACAAATCGGTTCTACGCGTTTGTAGATTTTGTAATGTACGCCTTGTGCGATTCTTTACAATACAATTAACATTTCTATATGATTTCACGTACTCTAAAAAGGCCACTTTGCCTGATGCAGCATGACGTACATGTAAGTGGCGAGGGTAAACGTATGTTTGATTTCGCTCCCCTCCCCCTTTAATTCAACGATATTCACATCCCGAAAATGTCTACAAATTATCATCCTACTGCGGTTCTTCTTCCACAGAAATGGTCTTAAACTATTCCCCTCAACATTAGAATACTTTTCTGCCCGTTTCTAAGCCTTACCTGCTTCCTATGATGGTTTTTCTCTTCACGTAAACCGGAACTCGGATAGCTTTGTTTTTCCGTCGTCTCGTGAGGTCAGAGGTTAACTTGATCTGGGTCAAGGGTGAAATTGTCGGCCTGATTACCCATGTAGTACATTTGACGTCAGTTGGCACGTTACATTTTCCTCATAATGTCAACGTTCCTTGTTTAAAACCGACCACCTTATAACGTACCAAGCGTCTGACGTTTGTTTCTGATCTACATTTAAAAGAGATATTTTAAGGGAATAAATGCCAAGCCAAACTGTTTGGTGTGAATCTTGATTTCTGTGTTTTATGATCAACTCACCACCTCTGACAATATTCCATCCAAGAAAAAAGGCAACACAGAAGGAAACATTATGTTCAAGGTACATCATAACGATTTTATTGTGTTAGCGGAAAATTTCATGGATACAACTTCTAAAAGTAATAAAAAAACAACCAGGAACTTTTACTCGTATACAAAATAACGCCTACGTTTTCACATTTATAAAATACTTCCTACTGTTGGAAACTGAAACAAGTCGGTCATTTTACACCGATGCAAATTAGCATAAAGACTTTACTACAAACCAAACCAAACGCTAGTGTCCTGAGTATATGTTAGTTAAAATATATCATTGTGTCTGTAAGACATACAGGCAAACACTTAGACAAAAAGAACTACTAACAAGAAATCGAAGCTCCTTCAATGGCTTCATTCAAACAAACTCAACATTACGTTCTACCTTTCAACTACAGATTACAATCACTTACAGATGTTAAGTACTGTACATTTACATTATCCAATCAATACCAACAATTTTTGGTGTTCTACCACAAATTAAGTTTACTGTTCAAAAATTACAAATCTGGTTATCAAATGATGGATTCGTTTCCAAAATATATGATTGATAGTTAAAGAAAGTATATTTGTCTGGCTAAGAATTATTCTTGTAACCAAACCACAGTTTTACAGTGATTAAAAATGCAGTGGACAAAAGTGCCTATGACATTTCGTCAGGAAAAACTTGCATATTTGCAGATATTATTAGCATATCTTATAATAAATCATGTAGTTAGCCTAAATGTTTTCAAAATTATTCTGCTGTATCCTTAAACTTAATATAATCTGAAAATAGAAAAACTATGCTTAAGAGAAGATTATGCACATTAAATGTCACTACGAGATGGTCACAGTTCCAGAGTTGGTGCCTCCGTATGAATTCTTTTATGTCGAGTTAGGGAAGACTTAGTGTCTGTAGAATAGCTACACTGGTCACATTTGTAGGGTTTCTCTCCTATATGGGTTCTCATATGTTTGGATAAGTCAGACTTTGGAGCTGTCCTGTACCCACACTCCTCACACATGTAGGGTTTCTCACCGGTGTGTTTTGCTAGATGATCGACCAAACTGGATTTCTGTGCAGCAGAATAGTCACATTGATCACACTTGTAGGGTTTTTCTCCTGTATGGGTCCTCATATGTTTGGATAAGTCAGACTTCTTTGTTGTCCTGTACCCACATTCCCCACACATGTAGGGTTTCTCACCAGTGTGTTTTGCTACATGTTCCTCTAAGTGAGATTTCCGTGCTGCAGAATAGTCACACTGGTCACATTTGTAGGGTTTCTCACCTGTGTGTTTTGCTAGATGTTTGTCCAATGTAGCTTTCAATGCTGCAGAATAGTCACACTGGTCACACTTGTAGGGTTTTTCTCCTGTATGGGTTCTCACATGTCGGGATAACTGAGACTTGTAAGCTGCTCTGTACCCACACTCCCCACACATGTAGGGTTTCTCACCAGCGTTATCCAAGTTGACTTGTTGTGCTGCCACCTGGCCTTGAACATCGCCTTTTCTGCTGTCACAGTCAACCTGGGAAACCCCGGTGGGAGACCCATCACAGCAGTTCTGACCAACTCCGGTGGGAGACCCTTGTTCTGCCATCGCCATGTCCAGCTTAAAATGAGAAAATGGAGAAATCATGGACATTTGCAGAAAACAATGTATTTTCCCAATTAGATTGAAACGTAATTTACAACAACTCAAAAATTGATATGTACAAGGATATAGTCTTTGCAACTCTTAAATTGGGCTCATATTCTGTTTGACAAAATACATGTACACACACACACACACACACACACGCACACATGCACACACACACACATGCATACACACACATATAGTACACACAAACACACACACATGCACGCACACACACACATGCACACACACACGCATACACACTCACACACACACGCATACATGCACACACATACACACACACAAACACACACACACATACACACACACACACACTCACATATACACACACGCATACATGCACACACACATATAGTACACACAAACACACACACATGCACGCACACACACACATGCATACACACACACGCATACACACTCACACACACACACACGCATACATGCACACACATACACACACATACACATACACACACACACACACACACAGATACACACACACTCACACATACACACACGCATACATGCACACACACACACACACACACACACACACATATATACATACACTCACATACATGCACACACACACACGCACACGCACACACACACACAAAGAGTGCCTTTCCCAAGGACACAGGGTCGGTGACTTGGCAGGATTCGAACCCCAGACCTCTTGGTTCTAAGCCGATTAATGCCCAGCCGAAAATACGCTACACAACCCCACATTGCGTTTCTTTACAATCCAGTTAAAATTGCTGTTTTTCTATACCATTCCATGTCCTCAAAAAAAATGTCACTTTGCCTGATGCAGCATGACGTACTTGTACTAGTACGTGGCGAGGGTCGAGAGTATGTTAGGTTTCGCCCCCCTCCCCCTTTAATTCAACGATATTCACATCCCGAAAATGCCTACAAATTATCACCCTACTGCGGTTCTTTTCCACAGAAATGGTCGTAAACTATTCCCCTCAACATCAGAATACTTTTCTGTCCATTTCCAAGCCTTACCTGCTTCCTATGATGGTTTTTCTCTTCACGTAAACCGGAACTCGGGCAGCTTTGTCCTTCTGTCGTCTCGTGAGGTCAGAGGTTAACTTGATCTGGGTCAAGGGTGAAATTGTCGGCCTGATTACCCATGTAGTACATTTGACGTCAGTTGGCACGTTACGTTTTCCTCATAATGTCAACGTTCTGAGTTTCAAACCGACCACCTTAACAACGTACCAAGCGTCTGACTTTTGTTTCTGATCTACTTTAAAAGAGATAATTTAAGGGAATGAATGTCAAGCCAAACTGTTTGGTCTGAATCTTGATTTCTGTGTTTATGATCACCACCTCTGACAATATTCCATCCAAGGAAAAAAAGGCAACACAGAAGGAAACTTTATGTTCAAGGCATTACACGATTTAATTATGTCAATGGAAAATATCTAGATCTAGATACATCTTCAAAAAAAACTCCAAAACTGGAAATTTACTTGTATACAACCTGTAGTCTACCTTTTCACTGGCGTAAAATAACTTTCTACTTTGGAAACTGAAGCACATCAGTCATTTTACACTAATACAAATCAATACCATTAGCTTTTGGGTTTTATCCTAACAAATCTTAGTAGTTTAGAGAGTTGATAGTTACATGATATATTTGTGTTTGTAGGACATATAGGCAAACACTTCGTGACAGGAACTACTAGTAGATACACAGGAAATCTAAGCTCGTACACACACAACACTAACGTCTACATTCCAACTACTGTGTACAAACACAGCACTAATGTCTAGCTTTCAGCTTCAACTACTGTTTACAATCACTTACCGAAGGCAGGAACTACTAGTAGATACACAGGAAATCTAAGCTCGTACACACACAACACTAACGTCTACATTCCAACTACTGTGTACAAACACAGCACTAATGTCTACCTTTCAGCTTCAACTACTGTGTACAATCACTTACCGATGTTAATTACTGATTATGTATATGTACATAACACTTACTATTCTCACTCTACAATTCTAGATAGCTAAAACAGATTTTCATATCACATATTACAACAAAGTATATGGGCTACTAAGCGAAACTAAGACTTATTCGTGTAACTAAATCATAGCCATAACTTAATTAGATTTTAAAGTGAACAAGTATAGGGCTTTCTCGTGGAAAAACCTTTGCCTACTTGCAAACATCATGAGTTCTTACAGAATATTCAGCCTAAATCTTAATGAACATAACTGTCATATATCCTTAAGATTCGTATCAAAATATCAAGTAGAGAAACTGTAGTTAACAGCAGACTGTGCGTACTAAAAGTCACTACGAGATGGTCACAGTTGCAGACATGGTGCCTCTGTGTGGATTTTTATATGTCGAGTTAGGGAAGTCTTAGAGGCTGCAGAATAGCTACACTGGTCACACTTGTAGTGTTTTTCTTCTATATGGGATCTCATATGTTGGGATAAGTGAGACTTGTAAGCTGTCCTGTACCCACATTCCCCACACACGCACACAGGTGAAAAACCTTACAAGTGTGACCAGTGTGACTATTCTGCAGCACAGAAAAAAACTTTGGACAGACATCTAACAATGCATGCTGGTGAGAAACCCTACATGTGTGGGGAGTGTGGATTCAGGGCAAGTCTAAAGTGCCACTTATCCCGACACATGAAAATCCACACAGTAGACAAGCCCTACACAAGTGTGACCAGTGTAGCTATTCTGCAGCACGGAAATCTCATTTAGACTATCATCTCACCAAGCACACCGGTGAGAAACCCTATATTTGTGGCGTGTATGGATACAGGACAGCTTACAAATTCAAGAGAACCCACGTAAACTCTGGAGATGTGGCCAGTGTGACTATTCTGCAGTAGACAAAGCTCACAATGTCTCAACATGAATTAAAACATTAAACTCTATTTGAATCTGTTGCAATCACTATAGGTGCTGTCTGCTGTGTCTATGTTAGGCCCAGAAGGCCATAGTCAATTCAGTGTTCTGGTTGTACTAATTTATCATTGTCATTGTTTATTCACCATGTATCTTAATTTTATTGTTTGTATGTGACTTTCTGTATATTATCTTTCATATTAGATCAGAAACAAAATTTAGACGCGTGTAAGGTTGTTAACGTGGTCGGTTTGAAACGTAGTACGTTGACATTATGAGAAAAGCGTAACGTGCCAGCTGACGTCAACTGTACTACATGGGTAATCAGGCGGACAACTTCACCTTTGACCCAGACCGAGTTCACCTCTGACCTCACGACACGAAGGAAGGAACAAAGCTGCCCGAGTTCCGGTTTACGTGAAGAGAAAAGCATCATAGGAAGCAGGTAAGGCTAAGAAACGGGCAGAAAAGTATTCTCATTTTGGGGGGAATAGTTTGAGGTCCTTTCCATGGAAAAGGATCGTAGTAGAGTTGTAGTTTATAGGAGTTTTGCTTGATATGAACAAGGTGGAAATTAAGGGGGAGGGGGGCGAAAATTATGCAAACATAGGCTGGACAACTAACCTGTTTTTGTCCCCGTTTCCAACCGGTTTACCGTCTCTGGGGCTACCATAATGCGGCAGGCGAGCTTTCTGCTTTAGGGTGAAAAACTTGAATCAGCGAGTTTTACTAGAATTTAAGTAAGGAAAATTATGTTCCATTGATTTCTAACAGTCTTATGAATTATGATGACACCAGGACGCTACAGCATTTTTACTAATTTTTAGCATTTTTTGGGCGGGAAGGGAGGTGTTTTTTATCCTTCCATATGCATCCGACCAGACACATACAAATGTAATGTAGTTAGATCACATTCTTAAAAATCATTCAGCCCTGATTTTTTATGAATTTTCTGTTTCAAACAGGAGAAGAGAGATGGACAAAACCCAAACCTCTACTCGGAGAATTAACAGTCATATCAATATACAACTACATTTTATACGCTACATTTTTTTTGGTGGTGGTGTTTGTGTGTGTGTGTGTTTCATTTCATATATGCATGAAGCCAGACGCATAAAAATCTAATGTAGCTAGGGTTTCACATTTTGAGAAATCGCTCAACCTTGATTCATTCTGGAATTTTGCTTCTTTCGGCCCAAACAGGGAAGCGAGATGGACGAAACTGAACATGGAGACAAACCCTTGGAGAGCGAGGAGAGCAGTTTTAGGACAACTCCCGAGTCTTGTTTTTCTGTGAGCCATACAGGAGAAAAGTCTGAGGAAAATGCTTCATCCCAACATCTAGCAAACCACACTGGTGAGAAACCCTACATGTGTGGGGAGTGTGGATACAGGACAGCTAAAAAGTCTGACTTATCCCGACATATGAAAACCCATACAGGAGAAAAACCCTACAAGTGTGACTATTCTGCAGCACAGAAATCCACTTTGGACCTTCATCTAACAAAACACACCGGTGAGAAACCCTACATGTGTGGGGAGTGTGGGTACAGGACAGCTG